TACATTGGTGTGATCCCTATACCCCATCTTATGCACAATTCTTATCGCTCTTTTTTGTAATATATACAATGGTTGAAGCGAGCTTTTGTATGTATTTCCCCAGTTTTCAACGCCATACTCTAAGTATGGTAAGATCAATGAAGAATACAAAATGCGTAATGCTTTCCCGTCCAAAATATATCTAACCATTGCCAATATCGATATATTTTTTGCTATTTTGTGCTGAACATATCTGATATGTTCAGTACATGGTGACCTGTCTGGGCTCTGTCTGCTTCCCAAATACCATAAATTTAGTTTGTCTGTCTGACTCTAAGTGAGACTTGACTAATGAACAACAACAGTCGGGTTTGAACGTGCAGCATCATGTACACTCACCACTTTGTGATTTCGGAATGAAGATAAATATGTCCGTTCCCTGAACTGGAGCACGGCTGGAGCTTCTCCACTTTCTCGGGCTTTTATGTGCACTCTCTCGTGATAACCAGGGATGATCCGTCTGACTTAAGTTTCGTTTCCCATATTTTTCGTCATCATCCGATTACAGTGATAAGCATGCGCTGTCCACAACCCTTTCCTCGGCTCCACCCCTTACACACACCACAGGCATAGCAACCCACATACACACACACACTTACACTATTATTGTTGTTATTGTTTTTCCCCAAACAATCGGGCTTACTCATTTTAACATCAGCTGACTTGTGAAGTCGCATGTTGCATGCAAACTGTTCATGTACAGGAGTCACATTTGATCTGTTGCTGACCTTTTGCCTGTGGTGGAATCTTTTATTTTAGGCATAATGTGTAACACCTTTTTGAGCAACTAAACCAGGGTCAAGATTGCACCTCTTTTCAATAGAAATACACTTGTTTTAACTTCATTCTCTTGTGCACTCAGCTGCCTTAATCTAATTTTTTTCTTAAAAATTTTGTTAATTTTTATTGGAAACTAGATTAAATGATTACACTCTGTAAGCACCATGTAACGTCACTGAACAGAGGTTTGACAGCGGACAGTCAGGACTGCAGAAAAGGTCATTGGTGCAAGCCTGCACTCCACAGGGGACCTGTACACCTCACAGGTCAAAAGGAGGGTGGAGAGGATCACTGCAGACCCCTCACACCCCGCACACAATCTGCTTGAACTCCTCCCCTCTGGACAGCGTTACAGGTCACTGTGCACCAAAACAACCAGGCACAGGGTCAGTTTCTTCCCCCAGGGCATCACTCTGATGAACACTTGACCAACGACAGTATGACTGGACAATAACCCTCAATGCAATACCTGTAAATATGCATTGTACAGATTATACAGACTCATACAGGTCTCTAGTTTTAAGTACTCTGTTTTTATTCCTATTTATCTCATTTTAATGAACATTCATTTGTCTGTCTGCATTGTTTACTGCCTGTTATATTGGTTATTTTGCATTGTTTGCCCTGGTTGTTGCTTGTTAATACTGTTTATTTTTGTTATATTACACAGACTTATGCTGGTTTACTGTTTACTTGTCCCTTGCATGGGATTATGTACATACACATTGAGAGCCGATGTACCAGAGTCGAATTCCTCGTGTGTCTGACACACCTGGCCAATAAAGCTGATTCTGATTCTAAATTGCCCCTTGGAAAGAGATTGGATGTGCATGTGGTTGTTTGTCTCTAAGTATCAGTCCTGTGATAGACTGGCGACCTGTCCTGTTATGACCAGGCATGGTAGGGGTACCCAATGTACTCACACACACACACCAGGAGTGCAACACAAAGGTGGAGGTCTGGTTACTAGGAGAAGAGAGGGGACAGAGGCAGAGGAGGTTCTGGACAGGGCAGGTGGCGTGGAGCTGACAGACGAGTGGAGGACCTGGGAGTCCTGAAAAAACTTAGAAGAAAGCATCTGGATGTAGTTTTAGGCAGACGTTTCACCTCTCATCCAAGAGGCTTCATCAGTTCTGTTTGACTGGTGGAGCAGGAGGTATTTACCCCCCTGGGTAGTGTTTCAGTCCTTTGACGGCCAGTGATGGTATCAGTGAGTAGTTACCTGTCTTTGAACCCTCATATGTGGACCGATGCCTACGGTCCTGGTGTGAATTGCGGTGGAAATGTTTGGGTAGAGATCTCAAAACAGGATTGTAGATGGAAGACAAGTTGTGTCTTAGTCCACCACCCCTATTTAGTGAGGGGTGCTCTATTTTTTACAAAAATAGCTTCCTTAACTCCTCTCTCAAACCAGTGATGTTCTCTGGAGAGGATCTGGACTTCACTGTCCTCAAAAGAATGTCCTTTGTCCTTCAGGTGGACGTGGACTGCTGACTCTGGTCCACTGGAGTTGGCCCTCCTGTGTTGGGCCATGTGTTTGTGAAGCGGCTGCTTAGTTTCACCAATGTACAAGTCGTTAAATTCCTGACCACACTTAATTGCATACACCACATCACTCTGTTTATATCTGGCTGTTTTGTCCTTCGGGTGGACCAGTCTTTGCTGCAGGGTGGTCCCTGGTTTAAAGTTAACTGGGATATTGTGGTTGCGAAATATCCTTTTTAACTTCTCTGATAAACCAGCCACATAAGGGATGAGTGTTATCCCCTCTTGTTTCTATTTTTTCCCTGTTGGTGTTGGGCCTCTTCCTTGCTTTGGTGAAGGCCCACTTGGGGTATCCTCAAACCTTAAGGGATATTGATGAATACTGAACAACAGAAGAATGTTGGCACACAGAAAGTTTTCAGAAATAACATCCTCTTGTGCAGAAAACATTGTCAGTCACAGAAAGAAACCTGCCTGGCCTTGTTCCTGCGTACGTCAGCTGCATGGACTTCCTGTAAAATAAAGCAATAAACTCACTGTGAGGTTAACATGAATCAAAATGAAACTTAATGACTAAAACATGACAGAAGGCGGGATTTCTGTGGAAAATAAAACTTAGAGGCATAACTTTTTATTTTTTCTCTGAAGCCAGGAAACTGCTGAGTTGTCGGAACTGCAAAGATATGGAAACTTTGTTTGTCCTTCATCCTACTGTATGTTGAACCTGTTTGCAGCCATTGCATTCAACTGCCTTCAGGGTTGTCTTCTGAATATCACATGCAATGTTGAGTCTTCCTGAAGACACTGTTATACAATAGTAAAGGTAGCATTCAGTTTACAACCACCAGGAATACACTGTATGTAAAAGGTTGTGGAAATGAAGCTGCTTGTGTTCAAAGCAGGTAGTCACTCAGTGACTCAGCTGAACGGTTGAAAGAGAAATAATAATGTTCAGAATTCCTGTGCTGCTAAAGCAGGTGAATTTACTATTTGTTGGTGAAGAAGGTCATCCAATTATCCAAAGAGAGCCAAAACATTTATTAGCATGACAACACACCCTCATTATGATAAATAGTCTTATACTTGTATAGCACTTTTCTATGCATTGCACCACACTCAAAGCACTTTCACGCTAGTTGACCATTCACCCGTTTGCACTCCCAAGCACTCACACATTCCCACATCGGTAACATCACTGAGTACAACTAGGGGTTCATGTCTTACGCAAGGACACTTCAACATGTGGACTGGACAAACAGGGAATGTAACCGCTAATCTTTCGGTCAGGAGACGACCCACTCTACCTCCTGAGCCACAGCTGTTCCTCCGGAAACTGAATGAATTAACAGGACACTGTTGGTACTGATTGTTGCTTGTTAATACTGCTTATTTTGTTATATTACACAGCCTTATGCTGGTTTACTGTTTACTTGCCCTTTGCCCAGGTCTCTATTTTTAAGTACTTTATTTTTATTCCTTTATTCCTATTTATCTCATCTCAATGAGCATTCGTTTGTCTGTCTGCATTGTATACTGCCTGTTTATACTACTTATTTTGCATCGTTTGCCCTGGTTGTTGCTTGTTAATACTGCTTATTATTTTTGTTATCTTACACAGCCTTACGCTGGTTTACTTTTTACTTGCCCCTTGCATGGGGATATGTACATGCACATTGAGAGCTGATGTACCAGAGTCAAATTCCTCATGTGTCCGACACAGCTGGCCAATAAAGCTGATTCAGATTCAGATTCTGACATTTGAATAAATGTCATCCAGCCCCTAAACAATACTGTTTAGCTGAATGTTTAAGATAGGATTAAGATGTAAACATAAGGAAAAGACTGGGCTACACTGATCGGGTACCACACAGTGAAGGTAGTGATTATATTTCCTGTTTCCTGAAATATTATAGGAGCAATATTTTAAAATCTTGTATTTCATGGTAAGTAAAACACAGTCTGCCATCAGGGGCAGAGTGAATGGAGGAGGAGGAGGAAAAACAGGTTTTATTTTAACATACAATAACTGAGAGTCAGTTAAAGGTTTTCTTTCTTTAGGGATACAGTATATCACTAAATCCATATGATCACCTCAACTGAAACTGCCTCATGTAACTGTAACATTAAAGTTACATTAAATACTTAACACTTTTGATATATCAAATCCAGATTTTTTTAACTCTTTATCAATGCAATTTTTCAGGTTTCTTGCATTGGTTCTAAAAGGTGAACATATGAGGAAGAAAGTCACATGAAAAAGAGCACCTCAGGCAGCACGGTGGCACAGTGGTTAGCACTGCTGCCTCACAGCAAGAAGGTTCTGGGTTTGCACTCTGGTTGAGCTGGTGCTTTTTTTCTGTGTGTCATGTTCCACCCCTGGCTTCCTACTAGAGACTTGTTTTGAAAGTGACTATCTGTTTTTCACTGTCTCACTCTCCCCAGCTTCACCATGCCAATATGTGGCTGATTTGAGACACTTGGACTTGTATTTTGCCTATCTGTAATGTAATACCCCAGTTCTTTTATTGGACAGAGTTGAATAACGAAGGAGTCCGTCTTTCTTGATTTTAGTGCTGGTTTATTTAAAAAAAGATATATAAATAAAGATTACAGAACACAACCCAGGTTGTTCCTTCCTCCAGAGACACACACACTCTGGCTGCTGGAGAGAGAAGCTCCTGGAAACACAGACCCTAATACGTTTATCAGTTTTGGGCTAACCCCTTACACAGATGAAGTCCGCCCAGCAGACTCCATCTCTTATCTAGAGCTCCACAGGCTTGGAACAGCTGCGTGTTACCTCAACTCAACTCAGCTTTATTTATATAGCGCTTTACCACAGCACAGCTGACCAAAGCACTTAACATATCATACAAATATAAAAACAACACATAAAAAGCTATAGACAGTAATATAAACACTAACACCACGGACAGAGTGTCATTCCTGGTCAAACGCCAATGAATAGAAGTAGGTCTTCAAATAAGACTTAAAAGTGGACAGTGAGGGGGCCTGCCTAATATAAAGCGGCAAGGCATTCCATAGGTTTGGACCTACCACAGCAAAGGCTCTGTCCCCCCTAGTTTTCCGCCTGGCCCTTGGTGCCTCCAGAAGAAGCTGATCTGCTGATCTGAGGCACCGCGATGGATTATACGGACGCAAAAGTTCCACAAGATAAGAAG